GCCGCAGATGACGGCGTTCGGCGCCTTCCTGCACAAGGGCTCCTTCTGCCGCAACTGGTTCAACCTCCTGGACCTGCTCGTGGTCGGCGTCTCGCTCATCTCCTTCGGCATCCAGTGAGCGCCGGGGGCGCGGGGACAATTCCGGGGGGCGCGCGGGGACAAGTCCCGGCGGGAGCAGCGGGCGAGGGCGCCGGTGCCGCCCGCAGCTCCAGCGCCATCTCGGTGGTGAAGATCCTGCGGGTGCTGCGGGTGCTGCGGCCGCTGCGGGCCATCAACCGCGCCAAGGGCCTCAAGGTGGGAGCGGGGGCGGCGCCGCGGCGTCCCCGACGGGTGTCACCGATGGGTGTCACCGATGGGTGTCCCCGATGGGTGTCCCCGACGGGCGCCCCCGACGGGTGTCACCGATGGGTGTCCCCGACGGGCGTCCCCGACGGGCGTCCCCGATGGGTGTCCCCGCGGCCGCCCGCAGCACGTGGTGCAGTGCGTCTTCGTGGCCATCCGCACCATCGGCAACATCATGATCGTGACGACGCTGCTGCAGTTCATGTTCGCCTGCATCGGCGTGCAGCTCTTCAAGGTGCCGCCGCGCCCCGCGGATCGGGGGGCACGGGGACAGGCTGACCCCCCCCCGGTGACACCCCGTCCCCCCCAGGGCAAGTTCTACAGCTGCACGGACGAGGCCAAACACACCCCCGCCGAGTGCAAGTGCGCCCTGGTCACCCCGTTGTATGGGGGGGCCTGACCCCCCTTTTCACCCCACTGCGTGTGTGGGGGGGGTCTGACCCCCCTCGCCCCCCCCCGGGCAGGGGCACGTTCATCGTGTACAAGGACGGCGACGTGGCGCACCCCACGGTGCGCGAGCGCCTCTGGCACAACAGCGACTTCAACTTCGACAACGTCCTGGCCGGCATGATGGCGCTCTTCACCGTCTCCACCTTCGAGGGGTGGCCCGCGTGAGTGGCACCCGCCCCCCCAGCACCCCCGCAGGGTGCCCCCCGTCCCGCAGGGTGTCCCTGTCACCCGTGGGCTCCGGCTCGCACTGACACTGCTTTCAATACTCCCCCCCCCAAGCAG